CCCTTTACGTATAAAGCCAATCTCCGTGACCTTCATGATTTTTTCGTTGATTTTTATTCTCTTCTGGAACAGACTTCCCCAGTTGGCGGCCTGTGCTTAGGATGTTCACATTTTCAAATGAGCCTTGGACCGATTGTTTCTTGAACAATATCTTTCAAGAAATCAACTGGTATCTCCTGTCACGGATGAACTCCGTTTAAGCACCCTCATCCGATTCCCTACACCATTACTCTCGCATCATCTCAACTCTTCCATAATCCCATGACCCTTTCACTCCTTATTACTGCTGTCATTGTAACCATTGACAGAAACACCAGAGAATACAAGTGCTTCACTGCCATACAACCATGCCAGTTTATCTGAATAAAGCATAGCCTTTAATACTCACAATCAGTCAGGAGATCTCGACAGAAACCGATAACATGGACGCCAATGACATTGACTAGCCGTTACTTTCATTGTCTCCTACCAAGGACAAGGAGTGTCACGTAATATTAATCATTCCCTTCTACCATATCTGAGTGTATCCACTTCTAAGTTTGCGTCACTTTGACTTTAGAAAACGGAAACAGTGCCTTTTTTGGCAGACGGTCACTCGAAACTCGTTGCGAGTGACCCAACCACAGATTACGGTGTGTGACGCAATTTTTGAGTGAAGTACCGTCTACTTCACCAAAGACTGGTTTCCTGGTTACTCCGTCCCGAATTTGCTGGTTTCATCCTATTCCAGCTTTAGTTCCGATACATCAGTGGTCAAAGACCTGAAGATCTCTTATCCCCCTCACGAGATGGCCAACTCAAGCAGCTATAGAACAATACAATGTAGTCTGATATACTCGTCCTTTGAGACCCAGTTATACACGCTAGTGGTGCATTATTCGCGCAGATTAGCGAAAGCAATTCTGACCTTTGAGATTCGGGCGTTGACTTCCTCTTTCAAAGCCAACGTAACTTTCCGCACAATTTTCTTAACTTACAGTGTCACTTTCTGAATTCTTACGAGCATGTTCGAAGACTATGTTCCGCCGACCCTGAACGCCTCACATTCTTTAGTTGCCGCTGCGGAAGGTTCATCAGAAGCCACACTCTCGGGGAAACGGTCCCTGTAGAATTAGAAACAGCGTTCGTTTTTCGTTGTGTCGCGTAACCAATACTCCGGAACAATTTCACCACTGCTTTCGCTGATCCTCCCGAAGCTATTTTCAGGTGGCTTCTTGGATGCGAATATAACACAGGGTTATGCTAGTTGCATCTCATTAGCTTGCAAAGCGTCTCTATGGTCCAAGATCATTGCTCCGAGTTGACTGAAATGCTTCCAGAACTCGGCCAGCACGACCGAATTAATGGTGATTTGGATGGTGGTTGGAAAAGGGTGAAAGAAGCCATGATCATAGCTCTGCAACCCGTCTATCCGAGGTCCGTCGCACACCCCAATAAACATTGGATCTGGTCACGATCAGCAACTCTGATTGAAGCCATAAAAACTGTACCAGCAACAAACGAACGTGACGGCGTGCACAATACCTCAGATGACGAGGAGCGTTGATGGACCGCCAAATCCTCATAAGAGGGGAAGGTTTTGCAGAGTTAAAAGCGAGTTAAAAGAGATAATCCGACCAACGGGCCCGAGGAGGTTGGATGTTAGTGGAACAAATTCTGAAAAGCATGGGACCTCAATCCATTGACAGAAACGTCCTCTTGGACGATGGCCTGAACAGCTGAGCTGGGGCGTATCAGCTCAATTTCTGGAAGAGCGAAATGAACCGGATTTTAATGTCCAAATCTGTCCTCCGTCAACAACGTTTAATTTCCTTAATTAATGCGATGAACCTGGTCCAGATGGTTTGCATTTTGCATTCTCCAAAGAGGGTGGTGAGTTTTTTGTTGCCGACCTGATGACCTTATCGTCATCGACAGCATGACATCAGTGTTCAACACCGATGCTTCACTGCCGTACCCTTATGGTCCAGTTGCAATACCCTTTCAGTGTGTAGCTTCTATGCCACCTGAAGGAAGCGAGAGGGCTGAAATACTGCCAGGTTGCCCAAACCTAGACGGGGGAAGTCGAGGGACACAGGTCGGTTCGAACCACGGACCTTCCCACTATAAATTCGCGCTCTAAGCACCCTCTAATGACCTTACTTTAAAATATATGGAATGACGAACAGTGGAGTGCCTTGACGGTGATTCCATTACTAAAATCGGACCTAAGAACGTCGTAAGAAAACCCACCAGGGTTGGTTAAAGCGCGAACTCAGTGACCGGAAGGTATGTGGTTCGAACCTAACCTCAGCATCTCGACTGCTCAGTCGAGTTGGTAACTGCTGTCTCCCCGGATGGAGACCTCGGGACGGAACAAACCAGTGCAGTTTTGTCACGCAGCCGATAGCAGTCTTACACCAAAGCTATCCCGTCCTCTGTGTACCTCTCACTTCCTGCCATATCGAGCAAACAGAACCATTTGATGTCAATGAGCTGTTTGGGTCAATTCCAGCACGAGACTGACATGCCTTTCTCTGTTTATCCTTGGCGAAGAAACCTGTAATAGTTGGTATCATTCACTTCTGTATACAGTTCGTTGCTGTAAAGCAAAACCGAACTGGGGGTTGCGGTCACTCGGTTTGTGGCGTTCTCTGGTGTATCTCTCTGTTGTTCTGGTGTCTGAAGGAGCTGGTTACCTGCTCATTATATGTGTCTGTATATCTGGCTGTGCGTTGAAAGCATAGATAGTGAGAAACTTCCACACTATAGTGAAGTCTGTTTACAGTTGAATTTTAAAAAAAGTAGCGCTTTTTGCCATTCAGTAATTTGTAGACAGCACATAATTTGAAATCCCAAGAGGCTGAATTTTATTCGTTGGATTTGAAAAAAAAACACGAGCGCAAGAGTCCGTCGCAGTAAGTTGTGGATCGCATAGAAGACTGTAGGCGTATACATCATCCTTATACCACAAGCATTAGAAAAACGGTGGGTAAATGGCAGTTGGGCATGGTGAACATGAACTGACGGTCCGAATTGATTTTGTAGTTCAGTCCGTAGATGCTACAGATTTTGAGATGGAATATTTGTGTAACATGCAGGTGTCCCAACTAAGAGGATTGGGATACCACGCCTGGGGTTTCTCGTTCGAAAGGGCAAACTGGATCTTATTTAAATCACGGCACCTTGCGCCAAACTCGCTGTTCTTCTTTCCATCCTTAGTGCTCAGTTACTCCGGCTGCCTTGTGTGTTGAGGCGTGAGCTCCTGACCGAAGAGCGTGTTGTTCAGATCCATCCTCATCTCTTCCGTCACAAAGAGACCGGACCTTACCGTGGTGTGACGGTTTGCGCACCTCAGCGACCCAGTGAGCTACACTGGGGTGTCCCCGCGACCGGAAGATCCGTGGTTCGAACCTGACCTCTGCCTGTCGACTTGTCTAGGATTGGCCAACCTGGCAGTATCCCAACCCTCATGCTTTCTTCGGGTAGGATGACAGTCAGGCACGGGAATGGTGTTACAGCTGAGCGGTTTTTTCTCATACCAGGTTGGTCAGTGGTTAGAGGTCTGATGAACTCAGTTTTCTGGCCCTCCAGATTGGGGGTTAGGGCATGTGGCGACTTGTTCCATAGAAATGGGAATGCATCTGCATTTCCCGCCAAACGTCGCTGTCTTGCTGTTAGACTCTTGAGCCAAAGGCTTTGGAAGTTGTATTGGTTCTGATTGTAGTATGACAGATGAGGTCAGTTCACGAATATGCAGGGCCCGGGTCGCGTTTGCTAATTTGAGATACCTATGGCGTCGGAGTGGTGCACCTCTGAATCTAATGGGACGTACGTATCAAGATACAGTGCACCTTAAATCTCGATCAACCTAGAAACCTGGTCACTTGGCCTCAGGAAGCTTTTGTGTCAAAAGCGAAACGGAGCCTAGCAATAAATCTACCGATTGTCACTAAACTTTTTCGAAAACGATGATCACTCAATCGGTTCCAAGCATTTTTCACCTGATTGTACAGTGTGGGCTGTTTTGTTATATGGCTGTGAGACCTGGCCCGTTCGAGCAGCCTGAGACGTTTTCAGATATCCGACAACCGTGGTCTCAGAATCATAGCTCGTGTAGTTTGATGCCGGCGGATCCGTAACGAGGCAATTAAAAAGCGAGTTTACGGTTGTGCAGCAGGAACTTCCATTGAAGAATGTGTCCAGCATCTGAAGCTGCGTTGGTCGAGACATATGCCGCGTGTGCCTAACCATCGTTTGCCGAAGAGAATGCTGTTCTCCATGCCAATTCAGAGTGGCGGAAGCAGAGAGGTGGCCAGCTGTTGACTTGGCGGAGGGATGTGAAGGAAATCACGAAACACTTGGGTGCTTTCGGCGCTACCCGCCTTCCGGGATGGGACCGCGTGATCCCCACGGCGCCTGGTTGGAGACACTGCAACCTATGTCAGTGGCGTTCTTGTTGTCAGTTCCTATACGGATTGCCTGAGTGAATGTTTGGAGGTGTAGGCACCTCGGAATGATTATAGTAAGCTAGTACTAAGACCCTTCCTCCTCCAGCTTCATTCTTTTCTTCACAATAAGGCTTTCGAATAAATCATGGTTGTACGGTAGGGAAGCATTGGTGTTGAACACTGATGTCATGCTGTCGATGATGATGATGATACCCATCTCTTCGATTGCGCCTCTTATTGTTTGGACGATCTGCTAGTCTCGCAACTCCCGCTTTTTCTCATGGCATACTGGGTACGCACCGAAAGGGTACCACAGCTTATGGAATACGTCTACTTTGGCGTAACCTCTGTCCAGGTGCGTTATGCTATGCGGACCGCAAATAAACCCATGATTCGGATTTCGCCAAACCTTTGATAAAGGTGAGTGTTATGCAGAAAACCCGAGATTTTGCGTTGTGCGTCAGTGTACTAAGTACGGCAGACGTGTTATGTCTCTCTTACCTGGTTACATGATCCCCACACTCTGCACAATCTATGGTTTCTTGGTTATCGTTGATTATTTATCATTCCAGTGGCTCTGTTGCATTGTTGACCAGAATATCGTGTTCTTTCCGACATTTTTCATATTCGATCAACTCGGAATGTTCCAGTATTATCCTACGGTGCATGGTCCAGTGAATATGTCTGTCCCTTATGGGATCAAATTCTTAAACTCCTGAAGGCATGGGTCAAGCCCTATCTGCACCAGTTACAACAAAACTTACTAGCACCTGGTCCAACGATAGTTACATCGTCGCTGCCTCATGTATGCAAGGCTGGCGTGTTCACATGGAAGACGCGCATACTTGCTTATTGGAATTGCCGGGGGATCCAAAAGCTGCTTACTTCTCTGTTTTCGACGGGCATGGGGGAACTAGAGTTGCTCAACATGCTGGAATGTACTTGCACGAAAAGATAGTGGCACAGCCAGAGTATGGTACGTTGAAATCTTCCCTTTCTCAGCTCCGTTAGGAGTTGCCCGAATTGGGACATTGTCTTCGCTTGCCATTATTTTCCCTTCGTTTTCGGTTTTCGGTAAAACGTCTCTGACTGTCACTGACTGTCTCTGACTTAATCCGTCCGGTTACCTCCGAGATCTCCTTGTACATATCACAAAAACACTTCTTATGCTTATGGGTACCTCCTTGGAGTACCTCGTCATCTTGCCTAACGTCTCTAAAAAAGCACATTTTTTGATGATACGTTGTTGAGCGTTTATAACATTTACTCGTTTGTGATACTTAAATCAGCTGCATCAGGAATAGTACAGTTATCGTTAACTAATAATTTGGCTCAGAAATGCTTCCTCGCGAGTACCCGTTGCATGAGCAAGAAGGGAACATACAACAGGCATCCTTCAGTAAATCTCATGTTAGAATATAGCCATGGGTAAATTTTATCTTGATGCTGGAACAACCAACGAATTTCCCGTCACCTAATGACTGTGCGATAGGCTTAAACTCCACGGGCCTACAACTGCAAAATTACTCACTAATCTTGATGATGCAGTTGGACATGATTTAATGATGGGATATTTTATGTTACAAGACATGGTAATTTGTCATTATTTTCCTTCAAATGTGGTTACCTGATGTATTATGTTTTCTTGGCTACTTGCTGGACAATTAGGAGTGACGTTCTGTTAAATGATCTCGTTTGTCTCACGTCAACTTATTTCCAGTAGGACTTCCAGTTATTACAGAAGTTAGATTTCTATTTTTTAATCTTTGTGTATATCAGTGAGGAATGATATCAAAGAGGCTGTACGACGAGCATTCCTATTGCTGGATGCTGAAATGCAGGCCGAGATGACTTCTTACACAGTCAATCAGCAAGTTCCCGCTGAAAAAGACTGTGCTGTTTCTCCTCGTTCAAGCTCCACGACGAACACTTCTCAATCATCTCGGGATTTGCCTCCAAAAGCAGATGCAGCAAGCTCTCGAGATGATCGAGCTGCTACAAATTCAACGCGCTTCACAAATCCTGGGGATGAGTTGGCAGGTTCCACTGGCATCATAGTATTGCTCCGAGACCAGATGCTGTACTGTGGTAATGCTGGTGATAGTCGAGCTGTTTGCAGTCGACGGGGTGTCGCGGAGCCGCTGTCCACAGATCACAAGCCGACACTGCGCAGAGAGAAGGAGCGTATTTTGGCCGCTGGTGGTTGGGTTGATGCTAACCGTGTGAATGGAAATCTTGCTCTCTCCCGGGCATTCGGCGATTTTGTTTTCAAACGTAATCCCCGACAAAACGCGGAGAATCAGATAGTTTCCGCAAATCCTGACGTGTATTCTCGTCGCCTATCGGCTGAGGAGGACGAATTCCTTGTATTATGTTGTGACGGTATTTGGGATGTTATGACTAATCAGGAGGTCGTCAGTTTCATTCGTCTACGACTTAGCTACGGAGTCACTCCGGAGAAAGTGAGTCACTTAGCTTGGTGTCTTCAGAACTTTACTATTTGTCTTGGTTTTCTCGTCTTGGGACCCTTAGTGCATTAAATAGCGTCAGACACGGTTACTGACTCCCTCCACCCATCACTTAGTTTTCTATTTCCGATATCAGAGACACTGTTGAGTCTTCAAAACTCGCGTCCAAGTAGTTTCTGATCAATGTCTTGTCGTCAGATATTTGGGCAGCATTGTCTTCAAGGAGATGAATACACCGGCATTTTCACTGATCCAACCGGTGATGATCGTGAGTAGCTAGGGTCCTATTTTGGTTATTACCCTCTTGTGGATAGGCTAACTTCTTGGATTTATGTGCCTAACCACAGCGGTGGTGGCAAGGCTCTCACAGATATCCATCCAGTGTTGGTTTCCACTTTTTAATCAACTCCTACACTACACTGTAATACCGTAAAATGACAGCTACTGGCTTGGTGCCTCGCTAGTCACTTAAACTTAAACGGCGCGATAATAGGTCCTTTGTTACCTTTGTTTGTTTGAACAAACGTGGTTTCACTATTAAACTTGGAGCAACCCACAGGTAATGCCTGCCTCTTGGTGTAAAGGTGCTATTTCTAGAGCTTCCTACTATGTCGTCATGCTTGGGACTGGCCAACGTTATCCGACAGTCTCCGGTGTGTTTGTCCGCCGACCTTATTCCGTCAGGTCTATATCGGCATCATCTGCTTGCATATGGCGTCCAGTTCGGTGCAACCCACCCGTGGTGTGCCTACAGTGCGCAGACGCCCAGCAGGTCAACCACTCGTCCACCTAAGACACCAGTTATATATGTTGTTCACGACGGCCTGTGCAGACTGAGCACCAGAAACATAAAAAGTAGGTTGGAGAAGTATCAGTGAATGAACATATTCCCGATAGGATTGTTACATGCTTTATCTTTGATATTTTCCGCTTTGCGAAATGGGTAGGTATGCGTCACATTGCTGGTGCGCACTCTCCACTCAGTTCCGTACTGAGCTTTATCCACTAGTGTTTCCAACCTTACCGTCTAGGTATATTTTGGCTCCAGTCCGGAGGCCTGGGCAAACCTACTCCTTGTGAACCTGTTGCCATTCGTACTCTTCCGGTACAGCATCGGTCCCGTCGTTCTTTCCAGTTAGCACAAAACGTAAGGCGTCGCGCTGACTTATGTAAAACTTGCCCTACCCATTCGATTCAGTGTCATGTAGGTCTGTGTGAGTGGACTGGATGAACCGAGCACTCTTGATGCATTTCTGGATTGCTACTAGTCGCAAGCAATGACTTGCGAACAACGGTCACCAAACACCAATATTTTCCGAACATATTCACTTCTAATCAACCGAATTTCGCCGCCTTATATTGGCATTGCACGTGGAGTGGCGCCAAATACGAATCATTCCGATGTGAAACATAGATGCTTCATGTTGATAACTACAGATCCAGCCTTGCCGATCCGTAGTGAAGCTTCTCAAACTTGTCCACCAGATATGGTGCAAGACTCCAGACAACTTCAAATTCATCCGTTTGGTCACTGCGGGTAAGCTGTGGCTGCCACCACGGCGCAAAGGATACTTCATTTTGATCGCAAGTTTATTCAGCTATGTCTGAATGGCCACAGCGCTTTCATCCTCTGGAGTGTTTTGATTAACTTTTTCTATGTCTAGCATTCCGCAACCTGAAAACGTTGTATCCCATCACCAACAGTACGACCTTTAGTTAACTTGTGTAGCAAAGCGTTATCAGCAGAGTAAAGCGGGACATAACTGTTCCACTCCAATTAAAAGGTATTATGGCTGTGGCTGTACACCGTAAAGCCTAACTAAATAACGTGTTGCGATACAATGATTTCAGGACAGCTACGTACATGTCAAGTACCTCACGTCGCAATGCACATTCACGTAGTCTATTTTGGTCATTACAATCAGTGGCTGCACGTCTGTCTAGGAACACCTCACTGATTGGCTGTTGTAATTGGTAGTGTCCTGTGGTCTAGTTACATGTAAACTATTGGTCGATGCACCCACATCCAACTCGGAAGTCAGTTTGTTCTCACGTGAACTTCTCACGTCATTGACACAACCTATTGAAACCAGCTGGTCATTGTAATATGACCCCTCGGTAATCCCTTGGCCGCTCTGTGAGCCTTTATCAAATATTGTTTCTACAGTAAACTTATTCCAAAAAAAGATACGTCCCCTTCAATCCAGATACTGGGAGATAAAAATCATCCCTCCTCCTTTAAATAGAACGTGTGTGTGGACATCCGGTTCAGGTGTCCTGTAGTGATAGCGGACAGGATATTATGGAGCTTTTAGCCTACTCTTATTAGCACTGGGAGATAAAAATCATCCCTCCTCCTTTAAATAGAACGTGTGTGTGGACATCCGGTTCAGGTGTCCTGTAGTGATAGCGGACAGGATATTATGGAGCATTTAGCCTACTTCTTATTAGAATATCGAGGGTATTCCTCCTTTTTTACCAAACCCACTCTCTAATTGAAAACAGAAATATTTGTTTTTACAAGTATTTTCGCGAAATGGGCATCGTTAATCTGTGTAGTTGAGTCCGGCTGTGACACGGGTGACATTATAGTCGGTCTATTTCCTTTCTGCACAAATTGATTGTGTCATTTAGATTTTTCACCTAGCTTTCCCTTTGCGTTTGGGTCACTTGTGATGCATGATCAATTCATGCGCGAAAGGACATCGATCTATTAGGTACACTGATAGCATGTTTGCGTCCAGTCCAAACAAATTCGGTTCACATAAGATACAGTAATCGATTGCGAAATTGTAGAGTGGGTTATCGGAAGGTCTGATGTGCGTGCCGAGTTATAGTGTTAACCACATCTAGTCCGCATAGATAGAAATGGTCATCTGTTCACGACTGGTAGTTCTGTGGTTTGCATGTACATATCTGCATAAACCCATGAGTCTGTGCTTATATGCCGCATATTTTTCCTAGTTCTTTGTAAAATTTCCGTTCCCAACTAGAACTACATTTTCAGTTTTGTTCATTGTTCATAGGTTTGTGAGGAATTGATGATGCGTTGTCTTGCTCCAGACTGCCACACCAATGGTCTTGGTTGTGATAACATGACGGTCGTCCTCGTTTGTTTGCTCCATGGCAAGCCACTGAGTGATCTCCAACGTCGTTGCAATCGTCCGTGCCCCTCAGGTCTCGCTGCTGACATTTTAGGTCCATGACTTCTCACCTGTTTTCTCACTTCGCCTATCTTTCTCAATGTTTTTGCCTTAGTTCTGCATGCCTTGAATGGTTTCATCTTTAGTCTTTTCTGTTTGCAGTCACTTATCTAGTTTTACGTGACGTTCTCGTGCAATACGTCGATACATGCCTGTTCATGTACCACACTGTTGGACGTTTTCATCGGAACTTTTACCAGACAGAAATAAAGATTTTACTGCTTTGTTTTCACCGAGAACTTGCCATGAATTGGTCGTTGATTTTGTGTTGATTTCCATACCCTTTGCACTTTTCCAATGGCTGCCAAGTGTGTTCTAGCCTATAACTGATTCCGTTGACACACCCGGTTCGTTCCGTAAGAAGCATAAAATCTTGGTGCAATAAAGCCACATTTGGTTTAGCAAGAACTGAATAACACCAGTAAAAATGGGAAACGAAATATCAGCAGATACTCAGAATGTTGCCACAAGAAGCGTTTCTTTTCGATTTTACACGCTTATGTTGACATCCGAGGGCCACCGGCAGTTGTGGAATACTGTACCGCCTCAGTAGTAGGTCGAATTGATCAGGGCTCACCAGGTAATGTGCCTGTTCAACCTTTGTTGTTGGATTTGTGGCTCATCCGAAGTCTGAAACAGCTTAATTAAACCAAGAGGTATCATTACACGTATGAACCTAAAACGCCCAGTCGATAGTTGCTAGTCTAGTGAACATTGACGGTTGCGTACCAACTCGAAGTAGGAGTCTTCGTTGGGACTACGCGTACATGAGCTGCTCTTTCTTCCGATTTTAAGGCATTGTGTTGACTTACCCCACTCCATCTGCTAAAAGTCTGAGCACTGTCAGCAAACAATATATCAGTACAGTGGGACAGGAATACCCCTCATAATGCTTGCACCTTTGCTTTTACTCCATGCCGTTTGGGTACCATCCAATATTTGCTACCTGTCATGGTATTTCGAGTAAATTTTGATTCAAGTTTAGAAACCACCTCTCAGTTTTCGTTCTACCCCAGTATGTGATTCGTAGCTCTTGATAATTTTATCCAGTTTTCCGATATACCATTCCGATTTGGCTACAATAGACCTCAGGTTCTCTCGTATCAATTCCTCGTTTGCTGTTACTTACTCTTGGTTCCTTACAGTCGATAATCCTGCCACAAACTTTCAGTTGCCTTCAAGAGCTTTGTGGGTTCCAAATGAGCAGTATGGTAATGCCTCGCTTCAAATATGTGATCACCTACAGAAAACGCAATTTAATCCGCAACAGCAACCTTTAAACCAATATATAATCAGTTGTGTTATTCTACAAAAGGCAATGTACTCGTTGTTCTTTTTTTTAAGCAGATTGGCAGAGATTTCCGGGTAAGAATGATGCAAAAATACTCCGTTCATACCTTTCCGCGTCGATCAAGCACCTTCATCGTCCCGTTGGATGGTGAAAGGTCCGATGTCAGAGACCTCAAAGCATACTTCTCGGCGAAATGAAAGTAAGCGTTAACCCTGGTCGTATCACTCACGTCGATTAAGCGAGCACAACCATAATTTGTACTCCGGTAACTACCGGGACGGCCCATAAACCCACTGGAAGTTATTCGCTTTAGCACAACAACTGACGTCGTATGACGTAACTGGCGGACAGTTATTTTGACTCGGAATCTACTAACAATAGTCAGTGTACCTCCCAGAAAGATCCTTGCGTTAGCAATCACTTGGTCACTGGGGTCATGACTGATCTTAACAACTAAGCCAAGGGAAAACACCTAACCTGTCCCTGGCAGGTCAGCTAAATCGACAACACGTTCAGCCAGTTGTTATGACGGCATAAACGGTAACCCATCTCGTCTTGAAAATTACCACTCATCTCTTCCAAGCCTTTCCCAATTAACTGAATACCAGTCATCTCGTTTCTTGGCGAATTAAGCGTCAGAAACCAACCAGCAACGGCCAACCGTTTATTCGGTTCCACCGGCATCGAGACTCTCTCCTTTGGAGCATTGCGCAGTTTTCTACATACAAGCTGACATATGAACGTCATAAATACGTTAAAGAGCCTCATTGAAGTGGTTGGGAAATGGGACAAGTTCTTTATGACGAGAATTACTTCAGTAAACTTTTGCCAACCATAAACAAGCATATCTTCACTGAATAACCAAGTGACACGGATGACCTTTGGAGGTATATCGGAAAATAACTGCCGCTCCGCAAACCAAAATAAAAAGTTGAGGAACTGCCTTGTTTGGATACACGCACGATTTTTGGATCCCTTATAAAAACCTTGGCACCGGCTGACAGGTCATTGCTTCTGTTCTTTCATGCAGCACTGACTTGACTTCGTGTCATTTGTTGAACGGTATCTCTGCTCCATTGTTCTTCGTTTCATTCGACTACTGGATACCTTGACCATTTCATCGTCCAAGGAACCGCAACAGATACTTCAAAATTTTGGATATTCCTTATTCGCGAGGAACCAAGCAGTTCGTTGAAGAAAATCCTGTCACAAAAATAGATTGCCCTCGATAATCCTCTTCCTTGTTAGCCTCAAGGTCACAGTGACCATATTTTACGAGACAATTTTCGTTCGCCTTTCCCGAACTTGTGTCTCAAGTAGCTTTCGGCCATACGTTATATACACTCAGAAGAAGTCTACATTATTCAGACGCCCCGTCACCAGTGAACTCGTAACATACGCACTAGCTAAATGAAACACATCTTCAATGAAATGGTGCGTAATCCCACAAACAATCCGAATCGCTAGAACGGCAAATGGGACGCGGTTTCCCATTCGAGGCACCCGTTGGCGGAAATTTTGGGAGCAATAGGCCATGTGGCAACGCGAAATAAAAAAAAAGTAGTCGAAGGGACTGCAAGGATTTTCACGCGTTTTCTGGAAGCACTGTGACCTTTGTTGCAAGTGGTTGTAAGCCCTAAGGGACATGATCTATCCAAGTAGCGACAGTGTCATTTCCCTAATCATTTTTTCGTGGTTGAATGCTCCTCTCATGTCAGGTAAAGTGAAAAAAGGATATTGGGCCCATCCTGCCGACGGCGCCTTACACCGTTATGATGTTCAGGTATCTTTATTGCAATGCTGTTCGAAGTTCGTGTCACATTTTACTGATCGATTTCTCTGTGGATACTAGGTTCCTTTTCGCACTAAGTCCGCAGCTTTTTTCAATCATTCTCCCCATTTCGTACCGCAGATGAGCGCCAGTCAGTTAAGATTTTTCGAAAACACCAAGAACAATGCACCAGTAATACATCATGGTGCTTAACTATCATGGTTGTACGTGGGCTAGGATAGTGCCAAGGCGCCAAAACCTAGACAGGTTGAAAATTAGGCTTCTCAACTAAAACCTTTCGTTAAAAATCCTGATTGTAAGACAGCAGTGGTCAAATTAAGACCACTCAATTAGCCCAAATTGAAGGAAAAACTGTCACAACTATTGCAACCTCCATTACAATGAAATAGATTTGGGCGAGCAGAACGTCGCATCACGATGAGGCCCAGTCAGAGACACCAGCAAGTGATGCTCAGATATCTATCGACAAACAAAAACGATATTATTACTAATGTTCTAACCAAGAAGTCGGAAGACAGTATTGGCAATGAAGAGTTCAGGCTGCCACCGTAAAGATAAGTTAGTTTACCCATATTTTGAGTATGATATGAAGCATCGGTGTGTTGGATTGTATTTCAATCGAAATATGTGGTGTTTGTTTGTGCTCTACAGCAGATGCTGGAGTTCATGACTTTTCTTCGGGAGGTAAAGTAGGTACTCCGGAAAGAAAATCATTGACTTATTATGGAAGTCTAGGTGACCACTCCAGGAGAGAAATCTGGCGGGGGAGGCTTGTTGCGAACCCTCCATTGGAACTGCCTCTCTCTATTTTCACATTAACAACAGTGTTAAACAGCGAAACCTCACGCCCATAGAGGCGAGCTTGGTTATCTGTGTAAAATCCTGCTCTGAGAGAAGACAAAGTAGGAGAGGTTAAGTGCCAAAGGTAAGCACCTCGAGTTGGTTACGACTAACGTTTATCCGGGTTAGGTGGGCGCAAACTAACACCAAGGATCTCGCTATTTACCAACCACATCTCGGAGCGTCATCGTCATGACAACTGATCTGCTTCAACGCCCCAAAGAATTATCTTTCCAGAAAGTGAATCAAAACCGTCGAGTTCGTCTGACTGATGGAAATAAGATAAATTAAGACTGTACAGCGAAATATCAGAAATAAAAATAGGGAGTTCGATAGCCAAAAAATAACAAACTAATTGGTCTTTCATCGCTTTATCTTTTATCAAAGGTGAAAGCTTTCGCCACAGCCACAGGTCCCCTTGACGTTCGGGTTATTAAACAAAAATTCACTGGCAAGAACTCCCTCTTGAAAATCCATTTCAGTTCCAAGAAGACTTAGTTGTGCTCGGCGATCAATAAAAACCTTGACACCATCTTGTTCCACCGCTTCGTCTCCCTCACGCTGCCCGTCGGTACAGAACTCCAACGTATACGATAACCCACTACAACCACGTGTCTTTACGCCGACACGCAGCCCAACAGCATCTGGACGTTGTCTGAGCAATTCCTTTATGCGCACAACCGCGGCCGGTGTTAGTGTGAGTGGCGCTTGTCTGCCAACAAGTGGTGACTTACGTGGACGATTCGTCGTTTTCACAGAATTAGAGATTGTATGGCAGGTGGAAGAACTGTAACTACGTGGACACGCCCAGAGAGCTGTATCCAACCTGCGGCCTGCCAGGAAACGCGACAGTCTGGACAACATAAGATCGGGGGGACTCGCTAAAAAACAAAGTACCGACTAAAATTAACAGGCAAATATAACACACCGAAACTATACAAGAAAGCGCAGTAGTGGTGCAGTACGTTAACAAGAGGTTGAAAAATAGTCCAATTCTTGATCTGAAATTATTTAATTCTACAGTCTCGTTTAAAGTGTTACAGACACCTTATGAGAACCTTGGTATACGAACCATGGCACTCACCATCCAGATTGTCAGGATTGTAGATTCACGCAGAAGCAAGAGTTAGGCCACCATGCATAACTACATAGAAAATTTAAACACATGTGTGTACACGGTACTTACTTCCACATCAGAAGAACCGTTCAATCAAAGCACTGAAAAGCGACGTGAATACAGTGGACTCCTGGACGTTCAATGCGCTGGCAATTCAAAACCAATACCGAGTTACGGAGTCGGACAGAGGCGAGAGGAACACTGTGAAGTGAACAATAATCGTTTAGCTGTGACACCCTTCAGGTGCAGGGCTACCGTGCAACACGAGTCAGGCAAGAGGGCTGGGAAATTGACAAGTTGCCTAGGTCTAAATAAAGCCACTGGAAATGTCAGAGTTAGATTCGGACCATGGACCTTCCGGTTAGCAGCTTCGAGCACTAGCTGCTCGAATCTACCCAAGCTCGTACTGCCTTCTATTTGGCCTTCGATATAAAATGTGAAATTGATGTGAGGCAAGCAAAAATGGCATCTGTGGGACGTAAAAGAGTAATACTCACGAGGTCACTTTACCTGACTTTTCCATGCCGGTTGTCCCGGATATGACCCCGAAACTAACAGGTGGCTAAATAGGAGTCGGGCAGGCAAGTGGTTTCTACAGAAAGTGAACATCTTCGAGCGCGATCGCTACTCTTATGATCAATCAATTCATGACATCTTCATCAACGATATTCGGTCTCATCCAAATAGGTAACCGTTCACTGAGAACCCTCTCCCCAGAGACTGTCGGCCTGCCTTGATCGTGATGAATAGTCCAGGAAATCCGTCTTGTTACATCGTGGAATCTTGCAGGGCCTCAACGGACACTGCCCAAGTTTATAAATCAGAGCCTTTAAAAGTCTGAGCATGGTTGCAAGTAACTGTTTAAAAAATGATTATTAGTTGTATCCCGCACCTTCGAAAGTGCTTTCAAACGATGTGTCGCGCAGACTCGTTACAGAGGAAGTCCTATAAATCGTTCAGCTATAACATCCTTTCGGTGTCTGGCTGCCATGCCACAAAGGAAGCAAGAGGACTGGGATACTGTCAGGCTGTCCAAGTTAAGACAGGGGAGGCCGAGAGGTAGAGGTCGGGTTTGAACCATGGGCCTTCCAAACCGCGCTCTAATCAGTTGAGCCATCCCGCCCCGAAGAAGTCCTATACGCTTCGATCTAGTGGCAGAGGTCTCCACTTAAGTGCAGAAAGAAATCGTATGTCCGGCGTATCGGTTCTGTTAATAAACCCTGGTTTCAAACTACTCATGCGTGGTGTATGAGGCGCACCCGACAGGTTCCGAATAGTTTATCAGCGATTTGCCAGGAGTAAAAGGTCACTTGGGCGTCCTGCGTAGGAGTGAGTTAGAAGAGGCAGATGAACTGGAACTTCAGTTGCCAGCTACCAGTGTTTCCGAGCGTAGTTTCGGCTGCGCTAAGGATCAGGCTCCTCCCTATTGCCCAGCACCTCAGCTACCTAGATGCCGCAAAGGGCGATCATCATCATCATTCTTAGGTATAATGACCGTTGTGGTTGTAGCTGCCACAGTTTCGTTCACCGATGGTTTGGGGAGGTGGGGTAGGTAGCTGAGCATTGGGGAATGGAGCTGATAAATTACTGCTCAAATACATCCCTGTAAGTGGACTGTTAAGTGGGGGGATTGGGAAGGGAGCAATCCACTGAAGGTAACAGCTTGGATGAGCACCATTGAGGGCGCGACTGGGCCATGTCTGACAATGTCTCTAACCATTGATATGGCCCGTACTGGGGTCCCGATCCAGGAAGACGGCAATAACCACAGTAACTAAGTTTGCTGTTAATGGCTTTCATACTTCGCTGCCAAGTCATTGTTTGACCACCTCTGGCTCTCTTCCATCCTTCACATGGTTGTGCGAAAAGAGCCCTTCGAGGAATTCGGTCGACTGGCATACGCAGCACGTGGCCAAGGCAGCGCAACATATGTAGTGTGATCAGTTCATCTATCGAGGGTGAGTTATTTCTCCCGAATACCATTCGACGAACTTCAGCATTGCTCATCCAGGGTTCCCACCAGAAGCGGACAATATTCCGAAGACATCGATGGTTACACATTGGTCTTTTGGCGTCCTCGGCGCGCAGCGGCCGGGGTGATGCTCAATACCATGCCAGCGAAACCCCTATTCACAAGATATCCCGCTTCAACCTTGCCAGACTCAAAGCTTGCAGTCTGAGACAGATCGGACAGCGAGAAGCATAACCTTTCACTTTCCAGAGTGAGAATCTATGTACCTTGTCTTTCAGAAACGTGTCTGTATGGTCACAATGTGCATTCCAAATTCCTAATCGCTAGCCACTCTAACCATCACTGAAGCTACTCTCAGGACTATGATGTCGCATCGTCTGGCCTACATTACGTGTTAACTGAACTCAGTCGACGCACCGAAATTGTGCTGCTCGAATGCATACACATCAAAAGCAGGATATTGGCCAGACACCCTTGAGTGTGTATTTATGGACTGGAAGTGGCGTGTCCAGGGCAACACGACCGTACGATTTAAGGATGCAACGCGCATACCAAAGGACGGGATGACTCATTAGAACACCGGGGCTTTGTGGACCTTCTACCGTTCGGTTCATTTCGTCGGTCATAGATATGAATAGAGATGAGACAGCCAGTATCCTTGTTGGGCACTACTTTTGTAGAGTCTTATGAAGAGCACCCCGTATATCGTCGCACGTCCGGAAATCTGGCACAATGGACTCATAATACTGACTTATACTGGTTCCTCTCACTGAACAAACTTGTCAACAAAGTCAAATGCGCCTTGAAAATCCAGGAATACCAAACCTGTGGTTCCTTATACGTATGGCGTTGTTGTAGCACCTAAAGAGCACGAATGTGTCCAGCACAAGCCCTGCCAAGCGAAAATAACACTTGCAACTCTCGAGTGAGTGTCTCACGAGCCACCATAAGGTGTCGAAGGACAGGTGACGCCAAGAGTTTCATTATGACGAGCCAAGCTGACCCCCTGTGATTATCGCAGTCACTACGGGACCTTTTTTTAAGAAACGAGCACTATTACTGACCTTCGTTAGTCGTCTGAGACAGTCCTCTTTCACAAACAGAGGCAAATGGATCAGACAAGTGCTGACTGGGGACTTCATCACCTTATTAGCAAAGCAGGTGAGAGGTCGTCGGAAGTAGCTCAGTGGCGCTTGAGAGATATACAGATATAAACCTCCGAGACAGTAGGGGGTTCCAGGTTCCAAGTCGAGTTCTTCAGTTAATCGAACCAGTTGGGTCCTCGATGGTTTCGCTCAAATTCGGTTTCCCAGTAACGGTCAGATGGATTGCCGGCACGCTGCGCCTGTCATTTCCTTAGTCTTCCATGTCCACCAGGATTCACGCTCGGCGCGTACGCCAAGATTCACCTGACGTCTGACAATTCGCCGGTTGAATAACGATAGGACCGGAGGTAGCATTTCTCGGGGGTTCCAGTAGTGTCACTATTCTGTGTGCAATCTAGTGCTTGAGTAGACCTGACAGTGCCGTGCCCCAGACGAAACTCCCGGCTTTGTGGGATGATGTGGAGATCCCGTTCCAGTTCAAACTGACATCCGCCAGTTGAGCACCTAGAAGAAAGACCAGATGACGGTTTTGAAAAATCCGTCCAACACCGGAATGTTGTGTCCTCTTTGATGTGCTATTAGTCAGACACGTTAGATCACCGAAATGGAGATCATCATCATCATCATTGTCAGCTGTAAGAACCAGGTACTGGTCGTACACTGGTTGTAGCTGCCACAGTTTCGTTCACCGATGATTGGGGGGGTAGGTAGCTGCGCATTGCACGCGCGAGCTGGTAAATTGGTGCATAAATC